ATGATAATATATGATAATTCTTTCTCTATGCATACATTACTATTATTATTAACAATTTAATTGTAATATATGTCAATATTAATAATTTCGTTGAACTAAATACAATTTTTTATATAAAATAAAAATAAATTACGATATCATGACAGCTATCGGATACATTTAATATTTGTAATACAAATATAATATAATAGTAATGTATTTAATATTAATTATATTAATATTAATTATATTAATATTAATCAAATTTAATAATATTAAACATTATAACGATAATTAAATATAGATATTAACGCACACATACATATTTTTTAATGAATTAATCAAATTTTTTAAAAATTTGAAATATTTAGGTTAATATCTTTCAATAAAAATGTTACAAAAACGTGAGTAATTGTACTGAACTGAAGTGAAAAATAGTGAATCTTATGTATGTATATGTAACTTTTAAAGTCGACGAATATAGATGTAGTACTACAGAATCCAATTCGGGTTTTTTTTTTATAAAATTCATTAGAAAGTAAATTTAATGTTATGCCTACTCAACTATTACAATCATTATAATTCGACAATACAGTTTATCATGCAATAATAGTTTATTTTTTAGTTTTCTTAAACTTAAAATTTTATTTTAGTCATATTTTTTTTACGAGAATTAAAGTTTTAAGCTTTTAATAATTCTGTAACCTGGTTTTGATTCTTTAAAAATAAGAATTTGGAACAAAATTCAGAAATAAGCTTTTTGATCAGATTACAAGTTAAAATATTCTCTTATTATTTTAGAAATATAGAAATATCTCATATATCTCAAATAGAAATATAGAAATATCTCATATCTCAAATAGAAACATTTTATTTATTTAACAAATTTGTATCATAATGATGATCAGTATCTTATAAGATTAATAATATCAATTATTTGTTGTTTTAGATGCAGATACGCTTCCTATGAATCTGGCAGCTGCAGTACCGAAAGATCCGGTTCGGGCCAAGCAGGATTGGCTCGAAGGTTGGTTTTATCTTTATTTTAGCATTTAACTTGATTTTACAATTTAATAATTTTAAGATATACGTCTTTTATAGACCTTAATTACTGTAAATAATTATTTATATTAATACACTAAATATATCAAAAAATACTATATATATGCATAATATAAAATATACACATTTCTCTGCATAATGAATCGATAGATATAGTTTTGTTTTAATAATTCACATATTTAAAAAATATCTTTTGCAAATTTTTAAAATTACTATTTATAGTTCAATTAATTAATTCGTAATATTTTACAATAATTCCAAAACTTGCGAATATACATATTGTATTTGATTATTATATAAAAGAAAACTTATACTTATTTGTTTAATTTAAAACTAATTCACAATATTATATTTTTATTATAGACTTGAATATGAGACGTAGCCAACCCTGATTTGGTGGTATCGGTGAGTAAAATTTAGATGATAGTTTTTTCCCACCGAAATAGCTTCTGAAATCAGTGTGATTCATTTTGCATATAGATTTTTACATGTAGTTCTGTATTTTTGTATAAAAAGTGTCGACTGTAAAAAAAATATGTCATCGAAAAAGATAGAAAATTCATGAAGTTAAATTCATAAAAAATGTTGTAAGTCTAATTTTTATACGATTAAATCTATTAGTTGGTGTGGATTTTTAACAGATTTAATTTAAATTGTAAGTATATTGTGATAAGAAATTATTTTCTATTATGATTCTTAAATTCTGATTTTTTTCTACAAATTTTGATTCTGTCGTTTTTGTCAAACAATATTTGCAAAGAAATCGTGAAATTAAGTCTCGCTATCATTTTGAGGCAAAGTGACCTTTGCAGAAATATTTCGAAGCAATATAATATATAATCTTTATAAAAATATTGTGAAACAACAAAAGAGAATTTGTATGTACATTGTCTTATTCTGCAATAAAATATGCTCTAAATTCAGTTTATAAATATTTTATGATAGATTATTATTAAAAAAAATTACTAACTTTACGTCATAAATGTCTTCAATAAATTTTCAAATTAAATTGTTAATTTTGTATCGCAAATGCGTATTATTTATGAAGTGATGTAAAGTACATTGGGCATATAAAACTCTTTAACATTTTACACTATAACTATAATTAATAAATCCAATCATATCAGTAAATACACGTTAATTATTAAAGTGAATTATTAAACTATTTATTCGTTAAACTATATGTTCGTTAAAATTGTAGTCCAGTGTTAAATTTCTTGTGTCGTGAGTGTATTACATGAAAGAGAGTGAAATGTAAGCAATGAAGGACGATGGAGAGATGCTCCAGGCTCCAGAACCACTACCGGATACTGTTGCAAACGTAATTGCAGCGGAAGATACATCGATGGACGACGAGGGATGTCGCAAATTGATGAGTGCTGAATTACAATTTTTGACAATTAATCTGTTTTCTTTAGTTACGTCTTTTTGTGTAGTTTATTGCAATTTATATATTATTTTTATCACGTCAATAACCAAATATTATTATTATAAAATTAATATTATTGTTCTCGTAGGCTTGAGATAAAATTATTTTTTACGACCCTTTTTTTTCATAATAATTGAAATGCAAAGTGTAATGTAATATAAAATCTACAATTTTAAAGAGATATAAAAATATTTTTTCTCTTGTACTAATATTAGATGTATATATTAATTTATAGATACTAATACATATACAGGGTGTTTCCAAATTAAATCGCAAAACTTCGGGAGCGTGTAGAGGAGTAAAAAACTAAGAAAAAAAGTCCTATAGACATATGCTCGTTTTTGCTCCGTTTCAGAGAAATCGAAAAAAAATGTTTACATTTCTTGCCATATCTAGCACCGACATATTTGATTACATTTTCCACTTTCTGTTATGAATTTGTCAGTCGCTCTTTGAAAGCCTTTAACAGTAGATGAATTTTGTCTTTTGCAATATGCCGCGTACGTATTCTAATAGTGAATATGCTGATATGGTTTTTGTATACGGTTTCTGCAACGGTAATGCTTTAAAGGCGGTGCGAGAATATGCACGACGATTTCCAAACAGAAGAGTGCCAAACCGAAGAGTGTTTATGTTGACATTTAATAGATTGCGAGAGACTGGAACATTTTCAATTCGACAAGAAAACAACCGATTTCAAGCAGCGTTAATTTTGTATTTAGAACAGAATCAATAAAAACTAGCGTAGCTAAAAGAAACAGATTCTATTGCATGTCTAGATTGTGTATATAGTAATATTTGCAATAATCACACTGATTTCCAACGGAAGAAATAAAGATAATGATGCATAACTATTAATCTCTATGATGTTTATATATAAATGGGTGAACTACAATACATGTACAGAATTTAACTTCACGACGACGTTTCGCGTTTCGCTTTAACCCCTATTAGTGGCCCCAAACTGTAGTACGAAGCTTTCGAGTAGCTCGAAAAACCTAATGTTATGTAAAAATGTTGCTACCCCTTACTGGCTCTCCGTGCGTATATTAATGCACGCCGAAGAAGAGCGAAACGGGCAAGCGTAGGCGCGGGAGAGGAGACATCGAACCACGAGCAGATGCTCCTGCCGGAATATCTAAATAAATCCAACCCGCCCTTAAAATCCCAGAGTCGAATAAGTAATAACATCCACCGACTACACGGCTGTGTCTCATCCTTCCTCTGGTTTTGATTCTCTCTCTCTCTCTCTCTCTCTCTCTGTTCTTTTCTCGGTTGTTTCTCGTTCTCTTTTTCTCTCATCCCTGCCTTGCCTATTTTGCCTGCATAAGCGAGCACGTCCGATTTCGAGACTTTAATTGGCCGGAGGGAATTCCGCCGCGTGGCCTTACTTTACGAGGAAACTTTCGAGATATTTTGAGCCAAGCCGGGTCGGGGCAGAAGGGAATACGCTGCATACACTCTTTTTCCTGTTAGATGGGAGAGTAAGTCGGCGAGATTGAGTCGGCGTGGCCGCCGCGGGTTTGAAAGATTTGGCTTTTATCGCACGGATACATATGAAACGTTTGCATTTTATGAAAATCTTAGAGACAACATGTACACTCGACGTACTACTCCTTTCTTTTTTCTTTAAGCTTTGGAATTGCGTCATGAATGTATGTTCTATTAAGGACTATGCGAAATTATGATATAATCTTACTTTGTTGCAACTTTCGATTTTTCAAAGTATTTTAAATGCAAAATGAGTTAAATGTTACATAATCTAGCTAAATAAAAATGAAAAACAATGTTATTAAGCAGAAGCCAAAGTAAATGCTTGTTTTTCTTTTTAATATTCTTATTTTTAAAAAATATTCGATAAATTTACATTATTACGTGTAATGGAGATGCAATTTAATTCTGGATTAAGATGCAACGTCCACATGTCGAAGTCTCTTAACTTTTGACGCGATCTGTTAATCTAATTAGTGCAAGGCAACGCCATTAACTGCACTGCACCGATGGATTAGCATGGACAGTGGTACGTGTGTGCAAACACGCGACGACGCTGGGTTCATCCCGACGAGCTAGGACGATTTACGAGGTTTCACAGGCTTGTCTGGTGCATAGATAGGACGAATGTGTCAATTACGATAATCGCGCATCGATGATTTATCCGATTTATCCGATGAAATTATTTAGACGCCCATTGACAATTATCACGTCGCGATTTGACCTGAAAATGCAGCGCAATACAATGCGACGTCCTTTCTTCGCGTGTTACATTAATTCACGGCATTTCTCAAGTTTCTTAATCTATTTTTTCATATATTATCATCTTCATTAAATATATATATTAAATATATAGAAATAATTATTATCTATGCTGAGCTAAATTCCTTTATTGCCCATCAATCGAAGATCTCGGATGCATTCCGAGTTACGCATGAAGCGCATGATGCATCATTTGTCTTTGTTGTTTACCAATTAATAAAGAAGGATAAAACGATACATCATGCACTTCATGCGTAACTCGGAACGCACCCCTCGTCTATTCTATCAATTTTGTTTTTGTTTCATTAGTTATCGCATTCTTTCCTGTGTATTTTATCTCTCCGGACACGAAATAATCTTCACCAGTCGCTGTGGCCGGTTCCATGCGAAACTTTTCTTGTGAAAATCTGGACTTTGAGCTCTTGTTTGTTAAATTATTCGTCGGAAAATCATTGGTATCTTCTGCTTCCGAGGTTTTCAAGCGGAATCTATTTCGCTTTGCAAGTCGCCGGTTTGCGTCGTGAGAGCGGCGTTTTTTAAAGGGACCATATTCGAGATACGTTTCCGCGGGATATCGATACATCTCGTTGCCTCTCCCATGAATGTTCGGGACGAAGTAAAAGGTCGATGAATCCGTAAAATCGTCGTAATACTGATACGGCCAAACGGGTAATTGCAGACCGACTGCATCGTAGATTACTCGATCGCCGAGCTCTGGATGATTGCGAGATCGAAGTGTTTCGCGGAACTCGCGATTAGGACCTTTCAATACGAAAGGCATTCCAAATTTTGCAACGCCGTTCGATCTTTTGTTGTTCCACGGTCGAGATAGTCTTTGAACTTTAAAAATAATTTTGGGATCTACCTGTAAATCCTTGAATCTCGCTATCTCAGACGCTCGTTTCGCTTTCCGATGAATTCTGCGCGGAAAATGATCATTGTCGGTTATTTTAAGTATAGGTGAGATATCAAAAACATTGTTTCTTTTGCGATATTTCCGTTGCCAAAATTTTAGGCTATTTAAATAAGAGTTGGATTGAGGTTGCATGTGTTTAATGTTGCTTGATATAGGTGTTTCTTTTTCTATTAAATGAATTCTTGATAAGGCATAATCGTCGTACGGAGATTGTTTTATTATCGGCAGCAGCTTCCATTCGACGACGTCATTCAACCATTTATTATTTCTTAATCTCAGAAGCGCCAAATTATTCTCGGGATCCGTATCCAGGTCACCCAGTTCGTCTAACTTAGCCATATATTTTTCCCTTAATTTATTTCTAGAAAGATTATCATCATCGTAAAAGTAGTCACCAGTTTTCCAGTTTGCGACGTTATAAATTCTTTTCTCTCTTTCCTGTCTCAGATTTTTCAACTCGATTTCAGGATCTATTTCCTCACGTCGATAGTTTGTCGCACGATTTAATTTTACAGCGTTATCATCTGCTTCTTTTTCCGTTACTGAAACTTTCTGTCGCTCCTCTGAGACCCGAGGCTTCGCGTTCCTCGTCAAGTTTACAAAGCTCGTACTTCCGTCCGCCTTGTCAATTTTTGTCTCACGGTTTATAGCACGAAGTTTTCCCTTAATCTGATTATTGGCTCCCGCATTTGTCACTAACTTTTCTTCCGCGCTGACTTCCGTAGCCGCGAAATCAATTGCCGCATCGGTTTTGTTGTCCGCGAAAACATTGATTCTTCGCTCAACCAATTCCAGTTTATTCTCACTTTTTAGGCCATTGACATTATTTATTTGCGAATTATTCCATGATTCACCATCACGAATTTTGAATGCTGCATGAGATTTATTGGAACGGTCTGTATTCTCGCCGATTGATGTCCTGCGAATTATGTCCTCTCGCTTCATTCTGGAGTTCGTCTCATTGATTGAGAGAGGTTTACGTTCTCCTTCCGTCAATTTCTCGAATCGTTCTCTCTCCCTCTTTGTGCTATTCCTCATGTCTTTGCCAAAGGCAACCTCCTCCAGCTGTTCTTCGTTCTCCCTTTTCCAGGCTTCTCGCTTGTTGAGCAGTATCACTTCGTCCTCCATGCGATTCTTTCCTTTTATTGGTAACAAATCGAGTATCCTGTCAGTCTCGATTGCTGCGTTTTTCTTATCGATTAATTCCCGTTTCCTCTTTTTTTTCTTCCTTTTTAACTTCGCATCGAGAAGATCGAACGAATCGTAAATTCTTGGCTTCTCGTAACCTAAATAATAAAGCGAAGCCTGATCGTTTTCTTCGAGATTTGCGCGTTTTTGTCGCGACTTTCTATGTCTTAGAGATGATCCTACGTGATCTAGGTGTCTGCGATGCTCATTGTGTCTCTGCTTCGACTGTGTATGATTTTCATTTTTCTTTTGATTGCGGAACCTCTGGCCTTTCGTTTTGCGACGTCGCCGTCGTTTCAGTGGAATGTTATCGATGCTGCGCGTTTCTCTGCGACCAAATGCAACGTGACCTGGAAATTTTAAAACAGCATAAATTTGTTATGCTAACTTAAACACTCTTCTGAAAATATTAAAAATATAATAAATAAAACAAATTGACTGCCTTTATTACAGAATATGTATTATTTTCGGACCAGATATTATGCGGACGTAATTACTCGAGTATGAAAGTTTAGTCGAAACCGCCATGATTTTTTTTTTTATTGACTCGATGCAGAAATAGTTTATCATGCCGTGGTATTTAGACCGAAAACATTTCCGATAATCAATTTCCCGATATCGATAATTAAAGGAATATCACCCGTAACATTTATTTGCCGCATTTTATGTGCCGAAATTTTGATATTCTTAAACTGTCAATTAGAAATAACAAATATATGTATAATATCTTTTTTAGAAGATACTAAAAATAATCAAAATGTAATCACTAAAGATATTACGTACTATCGTGGAGCTGTTTATCTATTGTTTCAAATGAATTGTTGAACCGGAAAAGATTATGCGTATCGATTGGCAAAGACAATGCGTCTTTTGTCATCGAATGGCTTGCATTAATGGCATTAGGCACTGCGCTTTGATATTGTAAGACATTTCCAGTTCTAGCTCTAGCTGCGCCGAACATTGATGTAGGCTTTCCTTTTGTTTCTACAGTTTCTCGCGCTTCGATGTATTGCAAAAGTAGGTTTAACTGCCGAATCTAAATAATCATAAAATTTTGTTCTGATATAGTTTTCAGATATTTTTGTAATATTCTTGAAATATCTCTTGTCTTACATAAAATTTTATCACCATTTCTAATCAAATATCAAATAGTGATACATTATACTTATACGTAAAATCTTACCAAATAGTCGTGGACTGTTTGAACTTTTGTTTTCTCTTTTGCAGTCAGGGCGTTATATTCTTTTACAAGAGTTTCCAATATTCTCACTTTTTTCTGTAGATCATTAATATTTCCTTCTCTCTCTTGTCCGAAGGTGCTGTCAAACAGGAATTTGCGTCCTGTGTCTTGCTCTGGAATAATTTCCTCACGGACCAATGGCAGCAGTGGTGCCTGGATTCAAAATTAACATTTATTAATTGATTGAGAATTAATTATATCGCACGATATAATTAATATGCACTCGGAGATTACATACCTCTTCCAACAATTCCTCCTCTCGATCCATCTCCAGCATCCAGCCCAAAAATTCTCGCGTATCCGGCGATAAAGTAACGCAAGTTTTCTTTTGCACTTCATTTAGAATTAGCGTATCAAGGAGCCCCATAACTTTCTTTATCATCATTTCCGTGTGATTCGTCTAAAGCATATTAATTTAAAATTAAAAATTTGAAATCACCAAAATTTCTGTCATACACGATACACGCAAATCTCTCGTGATAAATATCGATTACTCCATCTTTGTCGAGTCCTTGTTGATAAATGTTACCGCTTATCACATCTTCTGTTTTGTGATCGCGATGAAGTCCAGGACCAAAAACACTCTTCAATCGATCATTTTTTTGGACCTGTAATATCATAATTATCATTATAATTATTATCTTTATGTTAGAAGACCATATATATTCTATGCGTCAAATAATTTTTCGTGTTCGATAAAAAGGATATCGAAAATAGCTTTGATATCACACAACACGATCCTTTACTTGCCTGTTCGAATATTTGCTCGACGATTTTTCCAGCTAGTTCACCGTGAAGAGCCACGTCCATCTGCGATTCGTCGTCGATGTTGTCGGCTGCGAGGAGCAGTGTAATTTCCTTTCTGCGTGCATCATCCACCTCCGGCTTCACTGTCTGAAAAATCATCCTTAATTCTTTTCTCTTTTTAATCCAGTCGCGCGATCTACAACGCGATCAACGGTTGTCCTTTCACTCACACTTTGATCCTCCGCATTCTCGTAAAACACTTTTTTGCCCAGTGCCTCGTTCATTCTTGCACGAAGTAGTCCTTGCTCGGCCGTTTTACTCTTCTGAACTTTAGTGCGTCCAATCAAAGGAGATGCTTCTGCTTTGTTCTTCTGCTTTAAATCACCCCGATTCTTCGACATATCAGACCGTTGTATGTGATGTCTTCTGTTTCTATTTGAAGAAGAGTGCAAACTACTTTTCTTCGCGTGTTTTTTCGAGGAGTGCTTATCCTTTTTATTTCCTTTTCCGGATTTCTCCTTCTTTCTAGTATTGGTTCGAAGGATTTTCGAGTATCGATCACGATCTTGTGTGTCACTGTTCCAGTTTCCAATCTCATATCCGTCATACGCTTCATCGAACTGATTTTCGACGATATTCGGAGGATGAAACTGGTTACCTGGATTTCTGCTCGTTTCATCGTAATCATGTTGATTTTGATTCAAGTTGTCGTAAAACGTGCGGTACGAAACAGCTGCTCTTCTAATTCTTGATGTTTGATTATTTACGTATTTTTGTTCGGCAGCTTCGAGATCATCACCATCCATATTAACCGTATTTATTAAAATCGATTCTTGGACATTTTTAGCCCTTCGATCAGGTACACCATGATTATTATTAAAAATATTAAATGAATTCGTGATTGTATTATTGTGCCAATTTTGTGATTTCGATGAATTATCATGACAGATTTGCAAAGAAGTTGCATTGTCTGCGTCTAATAAGTCCGAAATTACTGTATCGTTTATAGCTTTCAGTCCTCTGCCCAATCTGACTTTTACATTAAAATCATCATGCCAATCTGGAGATTCTACAAAAGACTCATGTAAATCTTGTAAACTAATCGCCGCCTGTTCCTCCAAATTTAGATTTTGTTTCAGTAATTCATGTGTTTTGGACTCGATGGTATTTTCGTATGGAGTCTCGGAAGCTGTATCGATTATTTGCCGTCCTTCGAGAAGCGGAACATTTTTACCTTCTGAAACCTATATCAATTAATCACTTCATATTGTTGTGCACAAAAAGTATAAATAACGTTGCCATAAATAATAATCACAAACATACTGTAGACTTGGCAGTTGTTTTGATAGAAAATGAACTCGGTAAATTTTCCTCCGTTGAGCTCTGCTCTGTATCACCTTTAAACATATCATCCATGACTTTAAGTACGAAATAATTGCTCGCCAGAGTGCTATTCGAATCTACAGCTATCAATCAAATATTTCGTAAAAGTATTGCCATTATATAAGCGTTATAAAAATAACTGTAATAAAACTACAGCTAGAGGAAGAAAGAAATGAAGGAATAAACTTGCCATTAAAATCAAGATTAATATTAAATGTTAAAAAATCATATGGATAGAGATTTGATTAAAGTGAAAATAAGTAAGAATTTTTTTATTTCTTGATGATTGGATTCAATATTTACTCATCAAAGATGCATCAATTGACTGGAATCTCTTTTGTGTTTTGTCGTTTTGACTCGAGCTGAGGAATCTATCGTTCAATGGCTGTAATTGAGAGGGATTTGTATCAAGAATATCATTTGATTCATAGCGTAGTCTTTGATCGCCTCTGAACCGGGGTCTGCTCTTTAATTCGCCATCAGACCAATCGTACAAGTTCTTCAATTCTTCATATAGGAACTCAACATTGTTTGCATCGTTCTCTTGATAATAATAATCTTCTGATCTGTAAAAAAGGTAAACATTACATCTGCACAATTTCGTGAATCATGTATGTATACGTAACCATAACGAATAATTTTGGCAGAATTTATTTATAAATTTTCTTCAGTTAATATTTATTAATTGATTTTTAATTTAAAATATATAAAATATTCTAATTATTGTAGAAAAAAATATAAGGGGTTTAAAATAAGCTATTTCTGCAAATTATCATCATGTTAATTACGCATAAATCAAGCAATACTCTTTAACTATTTGAAATATTATGTATGTATATTTTATATATGTTGCAATGTTAACATAATTTTTAAAGCATTTGTACCGGTCGTTTCCAAAATCTTCATAGAAATCTTTTGAAGTTTCCAATTCTTTACTTTGATCCATAATCTTGATAGGCTGAATATCCAATAAAATATTTTTGGCAACATTGGGATTTACATCTGCATTGGATGTGTATTCCAAAGGTTCATTCAAAGTTTCTTTCTTACTGTCTTCTAATAATAACTCTGAATTCTTTTTCGATGATGCGCTTCTATCCTCAAACGATTGGTCCAACCTATCAGACATCTATTTTTTGGTCGTTTGCATCAAATTGCATGCATGTGATAAATTTATAATTAAAATAGACGGTATCTTATAATATATGTGTGTTATTAATGACAACGATCAATAACAAGGTATGTGACTGTTGTTAGCTTGAAAAATAATTCTATTTACCATTTTGATTTCGCGGCATCTGATTCTTGATAAACATTATTCGCAAAATCTTTGCTTTGGCGAATTTTCTCCGAGTTTCCCTTAGACAATAATTGTCTTTCCTCATTGAACACGTTCTCGAAACTAGATCCTAACGAACTGAGGGGCTTTCTATCACTTTGATCTTTCTTCGTAGTCTTATTCTTACGTTCACCAAGATCAACGACGATTTCTTCTTTTGGCTCTTTGTTCTTTGCTTTTGCTTTTCTGAGTTCTTCTTTCATTACCGTCTCAGCGTTTTCATTCTTCTTTTTCCCTAAGTCATCTGACTTACATGATGATTTGCCAGCTGCGCTCAATTAAAATTTCGATGTCCAATTAGTTTCAGAAATTTACTGTATTTTTAGTTACATGCTTTTTAGTATGAATTTTATTATGCTTACGTTCTTACCGCGCTTTATTTTCGCATTAATTGAAAATTTATTATCTTTATTTACAGCTTCCTGCTCGTTTAATGAAGGATCGCGTTCTTGTTCTTCGTCATCATCATAATCGTAATACTCGACCATGTCTAACATACTATGTCTCTTTCTTCTATCATTTCTACTGTCTTTGTGTTTTTTCTTATCAAGCTTTTGCTTAATCAACATATCAACTTTAGCTCTTACAGGATCGATTTGCTGTCTAAATGAAGATTGTTCCTCTCTTCTTTCCATTCCTTTATCATTATCTGTAAATACGTCTTATACATTACTTTTGTGTTATTTTCTATGAGAACGGCAAATTCATCAAATTTTTATACCTTCAAGTACATCTTCTTCTCTGTCATTATAGAGCCCTTTAAGTTCTTCAACATTCTGATTTTGATATTCTTCATTATTCTCATCGTAATTTATCGCCGCTTCTTTTTCTGCTGTATTTTCTGCTTCATTATTGGTGTCAATATTTTTATAAGGATATACAGATTGTTTGTAACGAGCGTTATGATTTGTTTCCGCAATCTGAGAATTTAAAGCATCCTGAATACGACTTTCTTCAGCTTTATCTTCGCGTTTAGTTCTAGTCAATATTTTTCCCAAGTTTGCAGAATCGGTTATTTTATTTTGCTGTCGATTCTCATTCACATTTTCAATATGACTCTCAGTCGTAGTACTAAAAACTGATACCATGTTCTTTATCGATGAATCTCCAATTTCGCCATCGACTGAAATCGTAGAAATCCATAATAATTTCCTCTGTAAATTATTATCGGATTTGTGATATTCGCGAGCTTCCATTATAGTTCGAGTACCTTCCTTTACATTCATAGTCTCATTTCCGTTTGACCCGAGAACACGAATATCGATTTTATCAGTATCCAAATTTCCATTCGATTTATTTGCGTTCCTATTCTCGACACTTAGAGGCGGAACCATCTGTTGCTGCTTTCGCAAATCGTTGTCTACAGTCACCGAAGTGAGATCTTTCAGTATTATCGATTCATCAGTCTCAGATGTATTTATATATACGGTTTCCGGTTTCATTGTCGCATTGGTGACAGAATCAATCAGCGAAGTCAAAGAGTCTTCCCTTGCATTTGTATTTCTTGATTCGTCGACTTTATCTTCGTTCGTCTTTATCTTCGCCACGGACGTACCGTCTTTTCCCATTTGCCGAGACAATCTCGCCGTTGTCTCTGCCTCCTGCTTTTGATATAGACGCCCTCGAGGCTCAAATATTTTGATGACACCGGGTATCGGCTCGCGGTTTTGCGTTCCGTTTGCCTCAATCTCTCTTTCTTTCGCGGCTACGGTTGTGACGACACAGCTCCATGATTCATTTGTCCCGATACCGAACCCATACGACATATTTCCCCGGGGAAACTCCTTTTCCACGCCCTTCGATTGTTCATCATCTATGCTGAGTCGCGATATTTTCTGCGCCCCGAATCCTAATTTTTCTCCGCCACTTCGATTTTTCAGGGATTTCCTAGAATCATCGTTTATTGAAAAAACTATCAAATTAGTGAATGCGTTTTTTTCGAAATCGGGGGAGTTAGTACGATTTTCCGCTGTGTGATCAATTTTTAATATCCTTTTAATTGTGGAATGTTGACCAATTTTCTTCAAGCTTGCTTTAGGAACTTCATTTTTGGTAATACATTCTGGTAAATGCGTTTGTAAGTCCGTTTTTATGACAAATAATGATTTGTTATCGAAGAAATGATTATTTAAATATAGTTCTGTATTTGAAGAATATTCCAGTTCAAAAATATTTGCTTTGTTAGCTGTTGATGGAATAATCGTTAAATTATTGAAATGATTACTTGAAAAAAATCCTTTATCTAAAGAATTTTGCGAATCGGTAATATTCATCTTATTTGAAGTGTTCACCGAATTTTTTCCGTCGTTGCTGAGATAACTAGAATATAATTCAGTAACAACTTCTTCAATATTTTGTATTGTAGTTACATTTTTGAGAACGTTATTAATTATTTCAATTTTTCGATAGCGGTTATTTTCAGGAATATCTTTCTGATGATTTGTGTAATTTGAATCTACGACAAAACTCCTTCTGTTACGTTTACTGCGATCATGTGATTCTTTCGAATTTCGTCTCCCAAAATATGCTTCTCCAAACTCTACTCCCTGAAAAAGTTTTGAGTCATCTTCATTTTCGTTATCTACAGTTTTTGCTTTTTTTAGCTTCCGCATTGTTTCTTCATCAAGATAGTTGTCAAGATCTCCCCCAAAATTGTACATTTCAGCTGTCGATCTTGGCTCATCCCGCCAATTAGATTCTCCTGAAAAAGTTGATTATAGTAATGACAGTAATAATGATAATGTTAATCGTAATTATTACTTTTCGGTATTATATTTCTCTTTTTATAACCCAACATCAAACTATTTCTTAATTCTAATACAGTTCTTTTCAAAGATTCCAATGATAGCGGTACATTTCGGGTTTTGCCATTTTTTATTGCAACTGGAGATCTCCGCAAAGCGGTTAAATCATTTGCATATATTGGATCGTGCAACGATACTTCGAATTGATCCTGCAGGTCAGTCTGTAACTTTTCGTCTTTGCTCGAATCTAAGAGATCATGTTTGACATGTTATTCAAAATTAAGTCAACATTTTTAACATATTTTAATTATTTTGATAATACCAGAATTAACGAGATTTTCAGAAGATTCGTAATCTCGAAGCCATGTATTTTCGCCGTTAGTCACTTTGGGATTCTCATTAGAATTCGACCAGTCGCGCGAGGAATGGAAATTCTTCTTTTCAGTCCAATCTTTCAATGGCTGATCGACCATCGTTCCTTTTTCGTAGACAGCTCTATCTAACCTACACTCAAGGGTGGAATGAATTTCTATCTGTCTACTAAGAAACATACTAGCTTTTAGAAGATTTGTTACGTACAAGTATGAAAAATGTAGTCCATTAATTCAAGTCAAATAATCTTATAAATTATATGTAAATTGTTATTTTTATCTGTATGAGCGTATTTATAGCAATGAAAATATATCGTTTTAGAAAGATTACGATTTGAAAAATAAAAATAAAATGTTACTTTAACACTAAAAATATTTTATTGATTTTTAGATGTTCATGTAGATAATTTTTTTAGATTTTATTTAAACCCCAAAATAAATTATAATTTTGTAATATATTAATATTATTCCGTTCTTACGTGCCATCTGATTGATAAAAAGTGTTATCAGCATTAAATGTCATATCATTATCTAGATAGACTCTTTGAGGTATATCGCGAGTACTCTTTCGTCCATAATTCTTCTGCAGTATCCACATCGTTTCATAATTCCGATCGAAGCCCCTCTTGCCGCGTAACCTACTTCCATAACCAATATCATCCCGTTCCAGGATATTCCTTGTGTTGATGGATACCGTAGAGTGCTGGTTTGTATGCGCCAGCGGACTGTATCGGAAATATTCCTATTAAATCACTCAATAAAAATTGGCGCGTTTCTAAATCACTGTAGAATGCAAATATATAGATCGAGGTTATTGGTAACTTTTTCCAATTGAAGTAGACACTTCTAGCGATTAAAATTTATGGAAATTGAGTTAAGCTTAGTAACAATTCCTATTGAATTTATTTTACTTTTTATTTTACTTTTTTCTTTCTTGTTACAGTAACAAGCAACATAACTTATATCTAGGCTCTTACTCATTTAGGTGTGTTCTATGACTAATATGACGTGTGACGTGATCTATCCACTTCAAATCGTTCTGCGCATTTAGAACATCTTCTAGAAATCTATTTAGAGCCGCGCTATTTTTCTCATCGTGGATCATCACAGATTTATTCGTGGAATAACTTCGGTTGCCGTCAATCTATATGTTTAAAAGACAATATTACAGTTTAATAAGCTAATTGACATATATTAATTTTCTGTATTTTTACTGAGCACCAGAAAAATAGTCTGTAGAATAATACCTATAAAAGAGAAAGAGACAGAAAAGGAACGAGAAAATTAACACTTGCATAAGCGACTCGTATTCTTAAATGTACCACGAGCTTTGAACATTCTGCTGCAGCATTCTTGCTACGAAGACGGCGGAATATCCTGTCGCTGACAATCCCTTCCTACCACCCGCACCGACACGTTAGCGCGTTATAATAATGCTGTGTGGATGTCCCGTAACGCATCGCGTACATACTATTTCGCCTCGTCCTTTTTCTGACGCGCTCGTGCGGCCGAAACAATGGGATTCTACATCCGGGAGTCGCGGGCACGGGGCGCGGTATTATTAAAAATTCACTCCCCCCAGCGTGGCTGAAGTGGCCTCTGGCAATCTGCATCTCATTCCCGGTGGGCCCTTGTGCCATCAGGTGGCTGGCAGCCACCACCGGCAGCTAGCGCGCTGCGGAAAAGGGGTGGAAAACTTGAGCCTCGCGACGCGACGCAGTGGTTTCGCGGTAGGACACGACGTTGCGGTTGGTTTGCCGAACAAAAAAAGATCTTACACTCAATTATACGCGGCATTTAACTAAATAAAGACTCGCCTTCCGTCTCACCCTCGGTCTGCCTTTCGACCTAACGTAGCTAGAGCTGTATGTGTGTATACTAGAATTCTTTTTATTAAACTGCCTACGATGATGAAATGTCTTTGTTGGTTGAAAGATGTCTAATTTTATTAGAACGCATAAGTGTGTATTATAAATTATAAGGTAGAGTAAAAGTACCAGATGTGGATCAGGCATTAGTTCTGGGTCATTTTTTATATTTAAATAATTATAGTATTTTCCATTAAATGGTACGTATCATAAGATTCTTTAGCATTTGTTTTATCTCTTTCAAGTGTCAATTGAATTTAATTTATTAGGAACAGCGCTATAAATGTTATTGATGTCGTTAACTAACTAAATGTGCGTGGTTAACTAACCACGGTTAACTAACCGCGGTTTTATATAACGTATGTATCTTTAAAAATTCATTCAAAGTGTAATATTAGTGTAAGAATTGCCTTATGGTTTTTATAGTAAGTAGTAAATAGCATTAGATTTCATAGAAAAAATTAATGTTATGCTCAGTTGAGATTAAATGTGTTGGTTTAGTAATTACTATGCTATAACGATCTTTTTATTGTTAAATTTGTTATAAAAATATTTAAAAACTTGTGTCAAATCTTACAAATGATGCCATCTCGAAAAGATTTATTTGTTTAAAGTATCAGAATATAAAATAGTATACATGTCTATATGCAAAAAGTACTACTATTCGTAATTTAACTGTTTTATTGCTATAAATGTTTAATTTGCATTAATTTTTTTTAAATTATTGATTTTTAACTGTCACTAATTTTAAATAAATTTGGATGTGTTAAAATTGCATCATGATCCACAATTAGATCCTAGAACTAGATGTGGATCATCAATTATAATTTCGTTATATATATTACGATATGCAGTGCAAATAATTTTTATTATTTTTATTATTTTTATAATATAATAACAGCATCAAAAAGGATTTGGTGAATTTATCCGCAGTACGTGGGGTCTAATTGTGGGTAATTTTTATTATTTTATTTAATTCAAATTAAAACATATAAAATGGTAATGAAATGAAATAAAATCATACATAATGTAATCTTTATGATCAATTATGACTATTAAATATTTTATTAATTGTTTGATATTGTTCTGAATAAAAATATGAATTCTTTTTTAAAGAATGATCCACACACAACTAGTGATTTTGTCCTATATTATAACGTGACTGCCAAGTACGGTCTATTTGCTGTTTGTAGATAATTACATAGATAGTTAAATTTTTACTAAACGAATGTAAATATTGAGAATGTCTCATATTTGCAATTTATATTCAGAAATGTTTTCCTATTTTGAATTTGACTAGTTTTCAATTAAATATTTTCAATATTTGACTCAATAAAAATCGCAACGCTTAGATAGACCATATTGTATAAAATTACCTTACGATACAATCAAATGATATAATCAAATTTTTTTTATAAAAATACTATAGTACGGGGAAAAATTGTATTTTACTATTTCGTTATATAATTTGAATTATTTGTGATGTCTTTGAATTATTTTATTTGTTTTCTACACGAAGAGAAATCATAAGGGATTCATAACCATACGAATATAGTTAAAGGTTAATTCATAATACTATATTTTTTGCATATAACAGCGATCTCAATAAATACATTAATCAGTCGATATGTGAAATGCAACTATACGATTATTTCTAAATAGATATGGTCAGATGAAGCACATTATAAATTGCACGAGTATGATGGTATAGCTATATTAAGTCCTCGAAATAATTGCTGATTTTATAAATTAAAATACGTTCATGCTAGCTAAAGTATCTTTTTAAGGCATAAATAAAATATTATGTATGTAGACATATACATATATATATATGCCTACTGCAGTTTTACGTGTTTCGAGTATACAAGTATGATCAATTTAGCCATACATATACTTTGAATAGAACGCGCCCAACCTGATTTAAACAAATGACTCATACCTGTGATCATGTTTTTGTCAACGCATTATGCACGAGTTGCGGCGTTATTTTGTGAGACATTTTCTGCATAATGTAAATATGTATAATTACATTTACATTGTATTTTTCATATTGTTTAAGGACTATACTCTCTAAATCTGAATCAGTGAATCTCTAATATCAGTGTCAAAATATGCTAGTAATCAGTGAATGAAATGTGAGATCCTTAACCTAGCTAATTTTTATTATGACAACCTAGCTAATTTGTATTATGTGATCTATCTTGTTTTAGTGCATAAATTCAATGAATATGGTATTGGAATATTTATTGAATTTATGCACTAAAACAAGATTAGTTAGATCACATAATAAAGATTATATGGTATAATAAAGATTATATGGTAATATCACATAATAAAGATTACATGATATGATTATTCTAACCATATTCTCTTGTAGGTATTGATTATATATGTAGTATGGCTATTCCAATCATACTTTCTGAGGGATTGTATTATATAGTATATATAGTGGAATTATACTATTACATGTCCAACTAGTAATACGGTACAATTACGCTATTGCGACAATTTATATAAATTAGAAGAATTTGGGAATCTCAATCTAAACTGATAGATATGCTATCATTAAGAAAGTTAAGTTATCCATAATTGTATAGTTGCAATATTAATACGGTATGGTAGTGGCTTAAGCATATAATATGACTGAATTAACCATATTTATGGCTAATACTTCTAATCTTTTCTCTCCGTGTATTTTTAGAAAACGTACTAACATAATATAATATTTTACGACATTCTGATTCCGTTTGCAAGCGTGACGATCCTTTTCGCAAGTTCTCCATCAATCGGCCGTTGCGGGAGTCGAGTACCGAAAGTGCGGCGGGCATAATCAATCACAAGGCATTTTCGGCCGCAATACGCGACCGAAGAGAGGAACGATAGACGACAGTTCGCATAGTTCCGAAACGGAAATGGTAATATCGCTGGCCCGGGGCGACCAACCCTTTGTCATTTTGTCACTCGACATAAAGACTGAGAGCTGGCGGAAGAGATGCTCTGCGGCGTTTCCGTATGTCTCCCGCCAAAAGAAATTAACGCTTGAAATATTAAAAAAACGTTTTTGAGAACAGAATCTGTCGTCGTATGTCGCTCTCGGCCGATTCAGATATTTCTCTTATCAATCATGATGATACACTCGCTTTGTGAAATCTTGTAGAAAATTTTTATCAAAAAATTGCGTGCATCATCAAGTAACAAAAAGGATCATTCTAGATTGATTGATGAAATATCAAAATAGTTTTGATTACATAAATATATTTTGATTAACCTTATTATTTTCATGTTGATGTGGAGAAATGGTCGATTTTTTTGAATTTTTAATCGAATCGAATCTTTCCTTCATGTATGTTGCTTTGCTTTGATCGTGTTTGCTAACTTTTGCCAAGCTGAACGTAGAAATGATGGAAAGGACGTAGATCACGAGACATGCTTGAAGGCAAAATAGTGAAAGAGAGGACGATCTGGCTGTTCGTTTCATGCTGTAAAATATTATAAGTTAATATCTGTCATTTGCTACAACGACACAAATCAAAAGACGAAGTTTTTCAGAAAATAAATTTGAATATTTTAAATTTCATCATTAAAATTTTATATTTTAATTTTAAAATGCAATTTTGAAGTAATAATTAATGATAGAGAAATAAGAGGATATACATTTTTAAATTTTATTTTTATTTATATGTTTTTCTTTTTTTTCTTTATGTTTCGTTCTTTTATGCAAACAACTGAAAAATCATAATTATGTCGTTGTTGTAGCAAATAACCGATATGATATCTCAAAATTAGTTTCAGCAATAAATATATGTAATCTACGTACATTATTCATTAGGATATTATAATAATTTAATCGTACAGTGCAGTAGATGCAAAATTTAACAAATACTAGATACGTATTAGAGATTTAAACGAAAATATCGGCGATCGATTCCCTGATGATTTATACGAGCCAAAGAAATGGGGCAAGTCGAATTCAATTTAGCAAGCAAACGCGCGCGAGAGACTTCGTCACTTCATAAATCCGCTAGCAGAATTGCATACGCGTGTATGTGTGTGGCACGCGAAGTATATAACGGGTTATTAAGTCCCGATCTCGGAAAGACATTAATTTCACGGTCGCGCATAACTTTCCTGTCACAATTTGCATTCGGCTTGGGCCTCTCGCCGGAGCGCACGGCGGGAAATTAAAAACGTCCGATCGTAAAGCCTCGAAAAAGAAGTGAAATATCATCGCCCTCGCATTCTGAATCGTAATCAGTCGTATTACTCGCCGCGGGAGCTCTGCGTCTAGTTCGACTTCTTCGCAAAGTGTGAAAAACGAAACCTTCTTGCAACCGGAAGCGGGCAAACGTACCGCGATTGATACCATCGCTTATGCCCAATATTTATCAAGGAAATAAATGATCTGAATCAAAGAGAATTGTCGGTGAGAAGAATTGTTCCTAATTTCTTCCTATCGACTTATTCGCGTTATTGATAATTCGCATCTTCGCACAATGATCAATCACTCAAGAAACGAGACCAATTGCGCGATTAACAATAACTCGAGTGTCTTTATTCTTTATTTGTGTCTAATATCTCCAACGTTCGCAAACCCATCTCTCCTTCGATTATTCGCTGAGACAAAAACCGCAGAGGATCGCCATTCAACAAAAGCGCAAGGAATAAAGGCCTAAGCGATCGTTCCGTTCTCCAGGATCGCACGAAGGGGAAAGTCAGGGAAGATTTTCAGGAGGGTTTCTCGTTCGCCGTAATCTCTCCCGGTGGAATGCGAGTCCGAGAGAGTCACCGCCGCACGAGAGTATCGTTACAATGCCATGAGCGAACGAATGGTAGGAGAGTTGGATGTTTCATCGTTTCGTCAAGGATCGTGAATAAAGAAGCGGGCTAACGAAAAAGCAACGAAGGACGGCGCCGGTTGGAGGGAGCAGAGAAGGGGGCGATAGATGAGAAGAGTGGCGATATAATATACCGCGTAAGAGCCATTAGGTTATTAAAAACAGTGGTCGCTAGATTCGAATAATGAACCGGCTGGTGGCCACCGAGGGGCGCGACAAAGGCGGAAAATTAGCCCTGATAACTTCACGTTTGAATGCGGAGGGTGGCGGACGCGGAAAAGGAGAACGAAAGGAAGGAAAACGAAGCGCGCTGGTAATCTCGACTCCGTCTCTTCCTGTGATGACGGCCTTGTTCCCATTCGTTCGTGTTCACCACGTCTCTCATCGACTGTGTGTTTACGAAGACATCACGACGAAGACGTTTCGATTTCCTCGAGCGTGATCCTCGTGCGATTTTCTACGAAGAAGAGCAATACTCTTTCGGAATTAGTCTCAATAATCTTCCAATTTTCTCTTCAGAATAAGAGAGTGAAAGAAAGTTCAAATGAAGAATATAACTGAATATAACCGTAGACAATTTTATACCTACACGGAAAGAACCTTAGAATTTACCCTGAAAATATGACAATCGTGGGACAACATTGTATTTCAACAAGAATTTTAATGTAAATCTCTCTCATTCATTAATAAAACTACAATAAAGTATAAAATAAGTTTGATCAATTTTATTAAAGTGCATGGTAAAAATCTTTAAAATATTGTATTGTACCACAAAACTACATATTTTCAGAGTAAATTTTAAAAGAAAATTCTCTCCGTGTATATAATTAAATAACGAATAGCTAAATGAATTAATTTTAAATCAATTTATTTCTTAGGAAATTTTCTAATTCGGTTACCTTTCATCTAACAATCATTTGTATGTATATGCCTCTCAAAGATAGAAGTAAATATTATATACATATACTATCTTTAATTATTTTTATTTGAATACTTTTGATATGTAATGCTAAATTTGCAGCTCAAGTATTCGAATCATGATTTTTAGGTATACAATTTAAAACGGAGATTTCATGAACGAGAGAATATAATGCAAACAGAGATTGGCACGTCACTTACTATACGATTGCGGCTCTTTTTACCTGGTATTTTGCAGTGTGCGCTGGATTAGCAACTCGTTTTCGAACGCACACTCATGCGCGCGCCATTGACGATAACGTTCGCGAAAACGATCTATGTCACGCTGTGCCGATTGAATTGCGTCCATTGACGTCTCGCATAACAAATTTCGATCGAGCACCGATTGTTTCGCATCGGTTATCGATTTCCATAAATGCGCATATCTTCCCGCTGCCGCATTTCCATCAGTCTTTTTTTATCTTTCACTCAACAAAGAGAGTGACGTTTGTTAAAACCAGTCATTACATGTTCAGCGATACTCACGGGCATTCAATTAATCACTGAAATGATAAATCCGCTATCCGTGGATATCGAAGGATTCCTTTCGATTAAATTATATCTAAAGAAAATCGGCGCGAACTCGTATTATACAAGACATCTCTAAATTACTGAGGACGACAGTAAACTTAAGCCATCTCGAGAACGTTGGAGATTAAAACACACCTGTGAAATATAACACGCGCGCTCGCAACGTCTCTCTTAGGATTAGACGAGTTTATTTTCGGCGTATGAACGAAAACTTCTTGCATAAAGGAATTTCGTTACGACGCTCGCAGCTCTCGCAAGAAATATCCGAAGTCTACAGAGGTCGAATCTCGTAAGTGTGTGAAATAGATTTCATGTTAATTTTCGCACGTAGGTACGTTTCGCACGCGAATGAACGGGAAAATAAGGAATATCATATCGAATACTAGATGAATAATCGATTCTTATATAGCTAGCCTTGTTAGTATTCTCACAGACGAATTTGGGCTAATCGTCCTCACTCGAGGGAGCGTAGACTTCGAAAAAAATTATATCATAATTTTAGATACATTGAAAAAAAGAGAAATCTATGAATAAGATATATTTAAAAAAAATCATTGCACTGTTAAATAAATCGACTGTAGCATCATAATAAGGAAACAATCCATATTTGTTAATAATTAATTATTAAGGCTCTTTCACTCATCACTGTTATCTCAGATTGTGACGTCAGAAGCAAGAAAATATATGATAAAAATTCTTATACAATATTAATATAAAAATATGTTTCACTAAAACAACACCTAACAGGAACAAGAATAAATCTAAAGTATAAATATATTCTATCGATTGCAATGTTATTTTATTGAAACATATTTCTATTCAAATATATTTTACAAGAATTTTTATTGTATATTTTTTCGTTTTTGACGTCACAATCTGAGATAGTAGTGAGTAAACAGAAGTTTTTAAATATAACACGAATGTATTACATATTATTAATATAATATTAAAAACTGAATGTGTTATTACATTGAGTATCGTTAATTCATTAGTTGTTATCAAGTTAAAATTATTATCGCATCATTACGTTAATGATGTATTGCGAGATCAACGGTATAACATAATTAAAATAATATAATATATACGAATCGCGTTAGCGAAAGCGAAGCTCTCCTCAGTGAGCAATTAGAATGCCTATTAGCTCAACGTAGTAGCGTTACGGTATTCTTTTAACGACGGCACGAACGAACGTCGGATGATCTCGAGCGACGTGATCAATACCCGTTTATTCGACGCATGTAAACGCATCGGCTCGTGTACTGCAATGGGCCAATGGGCGTTTTGTTAAACTCGAGGCCGAACTTTTGTCATAAACTATACGCTTTATACGCGGATAGAGAGAAAACGCGGCACGCATCTGTGCGGGACGATTAGGCGGTGCGGGGGTGGAAAGGGATGAGGAAGAATCGGTGGGACAGGGAGGAAGGGTGATACCAGAAGAGGATGGAAAGGACGGAGGGTGAGGAAAGCGGAAAGAGGAAAGAGGAAGCGCAGGGAGCGGGGCGGTTTCAATTAGGAGGCAGTAACTCTCCCGGGCATTGTTCATTTCACTCTAGATTTGTATTCCCCGTTTGTTTGTTCCCGTCGCATTTGCGTTAACCTGAGCAAAAGCGAGCCACCATGCGTGTATACGCGATCAGCCCGAGCGGAAAAGACGAGGCGGGAAAGGAGGCGCGCGATGACGGTTTCTGCTCTGATTTTCAGTGCAGACTCAGGCTGGAAAATCAGAACGTAATAGAAGTAAATCTAAATAAAGATAAAATATTGTTATCTTAACTAAATATTCTCTTCTATAATTTCAACTTATTTAGTAGTTTTTATGTTTTTGTAAAGTCATCATTTTTCCTGATAAAATTTTAGGGAAATTTTTAATTTTTTCTCATTCGTGAATTTTCAGTCATTATGATCAATAATGCAATCGGGGAATCGCGCGGAACGCCGAAGAGCAGGCACGCTGAATTTCGTTTATG